AGTACGCAACGTTACTATGTGTGATACCCTGGTGTTGCCGGTACAGTAGGTCAGCAACGTTTCTATTGGTGATAACCAGGTGTTGCCGGTACAGCAGGTCAGTAATATTACTATTGGTGATAACCAGGTGTTGCCGGTACAGGAAGTCAGCAACGTTACTACCTGTGATACCCTGGTGTTGCCGGTTCAGCAGATCAGCAACGTTACTATGTGTGATACCCTGGTGTTGCCGGTACAGAAGGTCAGCAACGTTACTATGTGTAATACCCTGGTGTTGCCGGTACATCAGGTCAGCAACGTTACTATGTGTGATACCCTGGTGCTGCATGTACAGCAGGTCAGGAACGTTACTATGTGTGATACCCTTGTGCTGCCGGTACAGCAGGTCAGCAACGTGACTATTTGTGATACCCTGGTGTTGCCGGTACAGTAGGTCAGCAACGTTACTATTTGTAATACCCTGGTGTTGCCGGTACAGCAGGTCAGCAACGTTAATATTTATGATACACTTGTGTTCCGGTAGAGCAGGTCAGCAACGTTACTTTGTGTGATACCCTGGTGTTGTCGGTACAGCAGGTCAGCAACGTTACTTTGTGTGATACCCTGGTGTTGCCGGTTTAGCAGTCAGCAACGTTACTATGTATAATACCCTGGTGTTGCCGGTTCAGCAGGTCAGCAACGTTACTACGTGTAATACCCTGGTGTTGCCGGTAGAGCAGGTCAGCAACGTTACTACCTGTGATGCCCTGGTGTTGCCGGTAGAGCAGGTCAGCAACGTTACTACCTGTGATACCCTGGTGTTGCCGGTACAGCAGGTCAGTAACGGTACAATGTGTGATACCCTGGTGTTGCCGGTACAGCAGGTCAGCAACGTTTCTATTGGTGATAACCAGGTGTTGCCGGTACAGGAAGTACGCAACGTTACTATGTGTGATACCCTGGTGTTGCCGGTACAGTAGGTCAGCAACGTTTCTATTGGTGATAACCAGGTGTTGCCGGTACAGCAGGTCAGTAATATTACTATTGGTGATAACCAGGTGTTGCCGGTACAGGAAGTCAGCAACGTTACTACCTGTGATACCCTGGTGTTGCCGGTTCAGCAGATCAGCAACGTTACTATGTGTGATACCCTGGTGTTGCCGGTACAGAAGGTCAGCAACGTTACTATGTGTAATACCCTGGTGTTGCCGGTACATCAGGTCAGCAACGTTACTATGTGTGATACCCTGGTGCTGCATGTACAGCAGGTCAGGAACGTTACTATGTGTGATACCCTTGTGCTGCCGGTACAGCAGGTCAGCAACGTTACTATTTGTGATACCCTGGTGTTGCCGGTACAGTAGGTCAGCAACGTTACTATTTGTAATACCCTGGTGTTGCCAGTACAGCAGGTCAGCAACGTTAATATTTATGATACACTTGTGTTCCGGTAGAGCAGGTCAGCAACGTTACTTTGTGTGATACCCTGGTGTTGTCGGTACAGCAGGTCAGCAACGTTACTTTGTGTGATACCCTGGTGTTGCCGGTTTAGCAGTCAGCAACGTTACTATGTATAATACCCTGGTGTTGCCGGTTCAGCAGGTCAGCAACGTTACTACGTGTAATACCCTGGTGTTGCCGGTAGAGCAGGTCAGCAACGTTACTACCTGTGATGCCCTGGTGTTGCCGGTAGAGCAGGTCAGCAACGTTACTACCTGTGATACCCTGGTGTTGCCGGTACAGCAGGTCAGTAACGGTACAATGTGTGATACCCTGGTGTTGCCGGTACAGCAGGTCAGCAACGTTTCTATTGGTGATACCCTGGTGTTGCCGGTACAGCAGGTCATTAACGATACAATCTGTGATACCCTGGTGTTGCCGGTACAGCAGGTCAGCAACGTTACTTTGTGTGATACCCTGGTGTTGTCGGTACAACAGGTTAGCAACGTTACTATTTGTGATACCCTGGTGTTGCCGGTACAGGAAGTCAGCAACGTTACTATGTATTATACCCTGGTTTTTGCCGGTACAGCAGATGAGTAGATAGATCCATATAGACGAGTAGATAGATCCATATAGACGACTAGATACAATTATATAGACGAGTAGATACATCCACATAGACGAGTAGGTACAGCGATATAGACGAGAAGATAGATCCATAAAGACGAGTAGATACATCCACATAGACGAGTAGATACATCCATAAAGACGAGTAGGTACATCGATATAGGCAGGTATATAAATGCATATAGACGTGTAGGTACAGCGATATAGATGGGTAGATACATCCAAATAGACGAGTAGATACAGCGATATAGACGAGTTGATACAGTGATATGGGCGTGTAGATACATCCATATAGACGAGTAGATATATCCATATAGACGAGTAGATACTTCTATATAGACGAGTAGGTACATCGATATAGGTGTGTATATAAATCGATATGGACTAGTAGATACAGTGATATAGACGAATATATGCATCCATTTTGACGAGTAGATACAGCCATATAGACGAGTAGATACATCCGCATAGACGAGTAGATACAGCGATATAGACGATTAGAAACAGCGATATAGACGAATAGATACATCCATATCGACGAGTAGATACATCGATATAGCCGAGTAGATACAGTGATAAAGCCGAGTAGATACATCCATATAGCCGATTAGACACAGCGATATAGATGAGTAGATACTGAGATATAACCGAGTAGATACATCCGTATCGACGAGTAGATAGATCGATATAGCCGAGTAAATACAGTAATATAGCCGAGTAGATACATCCATATAGACGAGAAGGTAAATCGATATCTTCGGGTATATAAATCCATATAGACGAGTAGATAGATCAATATAGACGACTAGATACAATGATATAGACGAGTAGATACACCCTGAAAGACGAGTAGGTCCAGTGATACAGACGAGAAGATAGATCCATAAAGACGAGTAGATACATCCGCATAGACGAGTAGGTACAGCGATATAGACGAGTAGATACATCGATAAAGACGAGTAGATACAGCGATAAAGCCGAGTAGATACAGTGATAAAGACGAATAGATACATCCATATTGACGATTAGATACAGCGATATAGACGAATAGATACAACAATATAGACGAGTAGATACAGCGATATAGCCGAGTAGATACAGCGATATAGCCGAGTAGTTACAGCGATATAGACGAGTAGATACAGCGATAAAGCCGAGTAGATACAGTGATAAAGACGAATAGATACATTCATATTGACGACTAGATACAGAGATATAGACGAATAGATACATCCATACTGACGAGTACATACAGCGATATAGACGAATAGATACATACATATCGACGAGTAGATACATCGATATAGCCGAGTAGACACAGTTATATAACCGAGTAGGTACATCGATATAGCCGAGCAGAGACAGTGATATAGACGAGTACATACGTCCATATAGACCAGTAGATACAGTGATATAGACGAGTACATACGTCCATATTACCAAGTAGATACAGTGATATAGCCGAGTAGATAAATCCATATAGACGAGTATTTACAGTCATATAGGCGGGTAGATATATCGATATAAACGAGTAGATACATCCATAAAGCCGAGTAGATACAGTGATATAGCCGAGAAGATACATCCATATAGACGAGTAGGTACACTGATATAGCCGAGTAGATACAGCTATATAGACGAGTAGATACATCCATATAGACGAGTAGATACAGTGATATAGGTTGGTAGATATATCGATATAAACGAGTAGATACATCCATATAGCCGAGTAGATACAGTGATATAGCCGAGAAGATACATCCATATAGACGAGTAGGTACAGTGATATAGCCGAGTAGATACAGCTATATAGACGAGTAGATACATCCATATAGACGAGTAGATACAGTGATGTAGGTGGGTAGATATATCGATATAAACGAGTAGATACATCCATATAGCCGAGTAGTTACAGTGATATAGCCGAGTAGATACATCCATATAGACGAGTAAGTACAGTGGTATAGCCGAGTAGATACAGCGATATAGACGAGTAGATATATATTGATATAGCCTAGTAGATACAGTGATGTAGCCGAGAAGGTACATATAGACGAGTAGATAGAGTGATATGGGCGTATAGATACATCCATATAGACGAGTAGATGTAGATCCATAAAGACGAGTAGATAGATTCATATAGACGAGTAGATACATCCATATAGACGAGTAGGTACATCGATATAGGCGGGTATATAAATCCATAAAGACGTGTAGGTACAGCGATATAGATGAGTAGATACATCCAAAAAGACGAGTAGATACAGCGATATAGACGAGTAGATACAGTGATATGGGCGGGTAGATATATCCATATAGACGAGTAGATATATCCATATAGACGAGTAGATACATCCATTAAGACGAGTAGGTACATCGATATAGGCGGGTATATAATTCCATATAGACGAGTAGGTACAGCGATATAGATGAGTAGATACATCCAAATAGACGAGTAGATACAGCGATATAGACGAGTAGATACAGTGATATGGGCGGGTAGATACATCCATATAGACGAGTAGATATATCCATATAGACGAGTAGATGGATCCATATAGACGAGTAGATACATTCACATAGACGAGCTGGTCCAGCGATTTAGACGAGTAGATAGATCCATATAGACGAGTAGATACTCGCTAAAAGCAGCTCTCGACGACCTACTTCTTTGTTCCCACCATTCACCACCAGCTGGAAAGGCGACAGTACTTTGCAGGCTGCTGTCATACAACTGTGTTGATGCTCATCACTCATACATAGTACGATTCAGTAACTGTCAGGAGTAACACATATATCACAAAGGCAGTTCATGAAACATGAAATCCCATACAAGAAAGTTTCTTTTACAGCGGTAGGGATAGCCGCCCCAACCAATTAACTTAATATCTTATTAAAATATATAACTATTCTCCGAAGCCTTGTGAAATAAATATACAGACAAAAAGACATCCTATGTATCATTTCCTCTTTATTTCACAGAACATCACGTGTAACATAGTATGCGAGTTCTAGTCGTTGTTTTTATTATTTTAGTGAGACAAATAACATTTCCAAGGGCAATCGGTCATTGTTGTTTCAACGATCCGTGACGGGTGAAAAATTCGTCGTGTTGAAAAGTATGTTTTATAACTTCATTAAAATCATAAGCCCAAAAAGTAAACTGCTCACGTAAAGTAAGGGATATGGAAACAAATACACCAGTCTTCAGTCAACGGAGACGATGACCTATCACTGAAAAATCGCTTGTATAGAAGTAGAGTCGGATGCTCGCCTCCAGAAGCATTGGCAGTTGTCCTCACATGCACTCAGTGGTAACACGTGTGAATGTGCCACACTTGCCTTAATGGGTGTAGGTGTCTAGAAATGCCTTATGCACTCATAACAGCAGTGGCAAACAATGGGGCGGTTAAGGGAAACAACATTTGAGTGTCACTGGGATGATCCGGGCCGAAACAGCTTGAGCTCACTCGCGCAGGAACTGACTATGCCACAGTGGTACAACCAGTTGTGGTAGCGATGCCCGAGGACAGGTCAAGTCAAGGAATCCCAGTGGCCTTCTGTGACGCACTGACCGTCAATAAGACCGACTCGTCGCGTCACTCGTCTTCCGGGACAGCAAGCAGAACGCTAAACGTCATGATTCAAGGCCTGTACACAGACAGTAATTGACTTTATGCGGTCTCTTTGTAAGCACGGTAGCCATATGTGATATGATCCGTGAGAGATTGGTCTCGACTGGTTCCACCAGTGATGGACCATTGACAAGTGGTGAAATGTGAAACAGTCAGCTTTGACGATGCCTTATGGTTGTCATGGCAGGACATCATTTATGGTTTGGGGCTGGTTGATATCAACATCAGCCAGACTCAGTGCCTACATGACAACATCTTCTCTGCTCCATGGCAGTGCTTTTGTACCCTGGGATGACAAGGCTTACTCTGCGTACACAGACCTGGACCGCGTGCAGAGGATCCAGACACAGATGTTGCAGTCAGTGATGTCTAACGATCTCTCCCCCACAGAACAGGTATTGTATATGCTGAGACCTTCAAGAACAGGACTGGCTCTCCAACATGGCAACATATCCCCTAACTGGTGATCAACTATCTTATGGGATGCGATGCCTGTTGGGAGGAAAAACTCGATATTGATCTTATGTGACCGATCTTGTCCTGTGGAGATTACTTGACCGATTGCTTTCATGTCCTCAAGGACGTATTCTATTCACCAGTGTTTCCCGAAAACTTTCCTGTATTCAAACTGTTCATAGTTTTCAGAAATTGTTATTTTAGTTATCAATATCGGCTACTTTTGGTGAGCAGAATGTAATCATGTTGGAGGCATGTACATGCTCCGAAGTAATAGACATCGGAAACACACATAACATTATACACTCGAAAGGTAATTGTAATACGTCTACGTCTACCTACGCATTGTACAGAGCAGAGTTCCTCACGGAAAATCGCATGTGTAAATATTCATATTTACAGCTACATATAATTGCCGAAAACAAGTCATCAGTACATCACTGTAACGATATAAGATTATTCAAATAACAACATCAATTGAGAAAGATGTCATTTGTTTTTACGTAGACGTTCTTAAAGTAAAGTTACATGAATGATATGATTATATATGAAAATACTGCTGCATGAAATAGCCAAGTGTATTGCTGTGATGAAAAACAACAAGTTCCAAAACAAGTTGCAAATGCAACAAAAGACATACCTGTGATGTGTATAAATAGATAATGAAGCCTTTTTAGGCTAATCAATAACACTTCATTGATATACACTGTGTTGTTAATTATCAGTTGTTTTTGAACCAACGCCATCAGTGACGATGACAGAGGACGGTGACGAGATACGAGGTGAGCTGAGAAACCATTGGCCTGGTTAAGCGTGTGTAGTGTTCATTGTTCGTGTACTTACACTGAAGCAATCAACTCCAGGCTTTATGGTTTATGGAGAACTTGGAAAATACCCACTAGAAATTATCATACAAACTAGAATTATTTTATATTGGAGGAAAGTTTGACTATCACCAAATCAGCTGGTGCACGCAGTATATGGGCTTGTGTGTAAGATGCATCAATGTAACAGTAACTATAGCTTCCCTCTTCTTCTCTGTAATAGAACTATACTGGAGAGCACGGGGTTTAATTACGTATGCTTATCTCAGTCGTCTTCAAACATTTTATGGTTGAAGTATAAAGTTAAAACAACTCTGATAGATCAGTATTATCAAGATTGGATACGAGAGTTGATCTCCTCCTCAAAAGGTTTTTATTATTCTATGTTTGAGCAGTTACATATAATTTAACCATACATATGATCACTGCCTGTAAACCTCAGATTATGTTTAGTTCTATATAGATTAGGCAATCATCTCCCAATAGAAACTGGTCGATGGTACAGTATACATAGGGAATATAGTCAACAGTACATGATGTAATCTTGGAACAGGTGACGATTTACATTTAAGTTTGTATTGCCCTAACTTAAATGTCTCCAGAAATCGACATCTTCCAAACTACTACAGCCAATATCCTTCAATTGAAAGATATATACCACTAACGTCTATACAATATAAGCCTATCTTTCTAAACTTGTCCAGTTATATCAATGCATCAATGAAATTGATTATCATTATTATCAACGCATTCTCACTGAACATATGTCTGTATATGTGTACATATCCTATATGAATGACATGTATAAACTTGACTTGACCTGACATGACATTTACTGAAGGAACTCATGTTAATACCATTAAGAGCGCTTAGTTGTACGCCGCCATGCGCAATATTCAAGTAACATATTCCAGTGATAACAGAAATTGGCTTTACTTTGTGTGCCAAGGTAGTGGAATGGAACCAAAGCCTTTGGCGTGACGAGAGAACACTCTCGGCACTACCCTAACCCGATACAATATAGCTGTGAAATGCACTATGCAGTAACAGTAATCGGAGGAGTTCTACGTCCTCGTAAAACATTGCTTCGTCAACAAAGTACACACGATATTTAAAAAAACATTATTATAACATAGTTTGCATACAATGCATAATTGCACATAAGGCCACTGTCAGAACAATAGCATTGCCGTTGTTATAAAGACGGGATGCTAGGTTGCAACCGTCTGTGCTGCAGAAGCAGTATTCTGCCGTGAAGTTGTCGGAAGGGTTTGTCCAGTAGTGGCATCCATCAGTCTCGTTGATGCCAGGGAGGGACCCCATAGGATAACACGTTCTGATAACGCCGACCCAGTTCTCTGAAAACGACAAGCAAAACATTAATATGATAATTGCAGTCATCTTTCTACATGCATGAATACATGCGTACACATAGATGCACGTTTGTCTTTCCTATGATCGGTGCCAGCAGCATCGGTGTAACTATACATATACATGTAATTAAAACCGTGTTACACTGTACATCTTTACAACACATAGTACATACACGGATAAGCAGATACGTTTGGCTTAGTACCTTATTTATGCCACCTCAAGAGAGTCTACTGTATATGGCCGAGGTTCAACCGGACACTATGTATTATACTCTCTCTCATCCGTCATTTTAATTTGTATGGCCATGTTCTCTGACGGATGTAATTGTGTGCACTCACAGCGTTTGAGGTTCGCTTCATTGTATATGTGAGTTTTTAATTTATGCCTGACATGTATTTCGAAATTCTACAGTAAATTATATTGAGTACATACACTGAAGGACAAAAGTATGTATCCTAGTTTGTTTTTTCATGTAATTGAAAATTGAAAGAGCCGTTAAATTTGATTTTGACCCCTACCATGGCCCCTGTTCGAAAATGTTAATTTGTGGCGAAAAAAGCAAATTTATTTATTTTCAAAGATAAGAAGTCTATGGTACCCAACATCAGTTGTGTATAACCTATATTTAAATTAATTTTAAAGTCAAATTGTTTTTAGAAAAATAGAACCTTGTAGAAGGATTCATTGAAGTAGTCATTAATATCGCTAGCTTTAGATATTTTCAATTGAAAATGAAATATATAATACAATCAAATATGAGGTGTGACTTTTTGTTGCTACTCAGTGTATGTTGTGGCCAGGAGTGGCGTATTAAGGGTGAGTTGAAGTAGTGTCATCACTACTTACATGAAAGTGCAACTGTTTTGTTATAATCATTGCGTAATGTGGTCTGTTTGATAAAGCTGAAAATTTTACTTCCTCGAGAAGGTTTTATTATATTCTATCGTTGTGTTTTTTCGAACTGTACCGAAGTGTCAACATTTTAGACCTTCTGGTCTTTAACAGACCATATTAAGGTGCAGAACATCCGCTCATAAAACTTCAGGTTCACTCATTCTGTCTGAGTAGCTGGCGAAAGATGAGTAACAGACAGAAGCACACTGACCGACCAACAGACGGACGCAATTCATGTATTTGTCAGGTCTAATTTTAAAAAAGCTACGGATTCACCTTAACATTTACACCAGGATCACGGTTGTTAGTTTTAGTGTTTTATCACGTGACAGGCACTTGAGTTGGATGAATGTCAAAGCCGATTTCTCCCCTAGCTTTCTCTAGATGACCTCTTATTTAGGAAATGGGGATTGGTTCTCGGTGTGACATCTGATTCAGAAAGATGTAAGAAGTTACCGAGATTGCTTCTAATTTAGGAGAGGTGAAGAAATACGAGCGTAGACGAAATTATTACGGGAAAGCAATAACGGCATGGCCAATGGGATTCAGAACGTAGCCCCCCCCCCCCCCCCCCCCCTCTATGTCTCTCTCTATGTCTCTCTCTCTCTCTCTCTCTCTCTCTCTCTCACACACACTAACACACACACACTAACACACACACACTAACACACACACTAACACACACACACTAACACACACACACTAACACACATACTAACACACTCACACTAACACACTAACACTAACACACACACACTAACACACTAACACTAACACACACACTAACACACACACTAACACACACACACTAACACACACACACTAACACACACACACTAACACACACACACTAACACACACACACTAACACACAGAGAATGGTCGTTGTAAAGAATATCACATGTTATCTTCAAACCATCTCTTTGAAGTCATAATATGGATCAAAATTAATTCAGTGAACCACGTAACGTGAACAAAGTCAAGGGGAATACAATGAAAGTTCAATTTGGCGTTTGGACTATTTTACTGTCGGCTATCACAAGTGTGTTGTCAGAGGGTAATCTAGGGGAATCCAGTGAAGGGAAAGAAGATTCGCCTGTTTGTTAGTGTCTTGGGACTCGTCCAAGTTGCAGTTAAATATTATGACGACGAAACAGACGTAAGACCGCGAACATAACCACACTTAAGCTGTACGTCCTGGTATGCCGTATGTACGTCGTAATTAGAAGTAGAGATAATAGAACAACACTTCAAAAAGTTGGTGAAGATATATGCAGTAGATGTAACCTGTTACAGCTATGTTATAGTAACTATGAATTCAGGCTGAGGTGGACACTGAATCGTCTTTGAGATTGATCTTTTGTTCTATTTGAAACAAATCCAAGGTTTGATCTTCACCTTGACCTTCAAACGACATACAAAATATTCATCACGTTATTAGTATGATGTCCTAACACTTCTGGGATCCTGATTACGACAACCTTTAAGCAGAAAAGAAAATATTTCCTTCGACATGTCACATTATATTCTGCGAGATGTATGAATCGAACATCAATAAAACAGTTAACGAGGAAATATAGTCCCACTTTTCTCCCCAACAAAACGTCTAAGGGGGACAGCGTGATATTTGTTGAGCCTCGAAGCTCTCAAAGGAAACATAAATCTAACAACATCAAATGAATGTCATGCAATCTTTCTTTATGGAAAAGAAGAACTATTTGAACAGAATGTTTGTGCATACAACGTTCATGTACATGCATGCCTCGTTTGGAATACATACAAGTGAACATTTTAGAAGCTCGATCAAGAATTACGCAACGTTTTCCCGACTGATTTAATAAAATTATATTGACAATCCGAAATGTCCTGTAGAATTAACATTGTATTAAAAGTCATCATAAAATATGGTGTGATGAAGATGTTGGCGCTGAAGATGAAGATGAAATTGCACACTGAGAATAAGCTGGCGGTCACAGTATATATTCTATATTATCACACAACATCCTTTCACGGAACATCTATCTCTGCAACAGGTAAAAACGCCGTAATGATACATGATGGTGTACAATGCCACCCTGCTCCCTTGCCCGCCGCTATTGACACATGGAACTCGTATTACAGTTAATGTCCGACAATCACCATGACGGGAACGTGCCAAATATGCTCTTACTCATCAGGCCGGTGAGAGTGATCACTTGTTGACATGTCATTGGGAACATGTCTTGGGTAATGCATACACATGGAGATTTCATGTGTGTATGAGCGTGTGTGTGTGGTGTGTGTGTGTATGTTCGTTTGTGTGTGGCGTGAGTGTGTGTGTGGTGTATCTGTGTGCGTGTGCGTGTGTGTGTGGTGTATGTGTGTGTATATGCGTGTGTGTGTGTGGTAAGAGTGCATGGTATGTGTGTAGTGTGTGTGTGAGTGTGTGGTGTGTGTGTGGGGTTATGTGAGTGTGTGTGTGGTGTGAGTGTGTGTGCGTGTGGTGTATATATATATATAACCTTTTATTCCTCCATAAAGAAGAGTACAAAAAAAGCAGAAAATAATAGATGAACATTTATCAGAACAACATATTATTTTGCATAAAATATGCAGAACAGTAATGCTGATGTATTGAGAGTTAGTTGAACACCATTTTAAACATTGGCTTGACATATTTAACACACACTCGTGCAAAGTCATCAGCATCTTTGTCACATAGTCTGTAATCTGTTCTACAAGACAACAGGCATTCAGTGAGCTTTGCTGAGTCCATACCATGCAGGTAGCAGCTAAAGTCAACATCACCGATATTGATCAACTCCATCCAGAGCTGATCCCGAATATCACACGTACATTCACACTCAACAACTGCATGTGTCACTGGATCACGATACACAAGACCACATTTGTGGCACAGTCCTGTATCACACATGTCCTTTGCGGTGGCACACGTCCTTATCACAAAGTTAGAGTTCAGTCTCAGAGTTGGGTCGTCTACGGAGATCTGCCAGGCCGGATGGACATCATATAGTCGATGGATTCGACTAAACATCTGGAGTTCTGGATCAGCAGCAAGTCTCTGCCTCCTAGTGCTTTACTCACTAATCGTTTCCATCTCTGTTTCCCTATGAAGATCCCATTCCGCAGGAACGACAGCAGAGGATCCATGAGATTGTATTTGGATAACAATCTGATGACGTCTGGAACAAATCCTGATGATGAGGTTGTCAGTTGGTGAATGTAACACATCAGTCTGGTCATGAACAGCTGATGAGGCAGGAACTTCGGGTTCATGTTGATGATGCGCTCCAGGAAATACAACTTTCTTTGATCTATATGGTATTCAATGGGTAGAACACCAAGAAGACTCAAGCAGACATCAGTACGGGTCAGTCGCGGCAGGTCTTGGATAGATTTTATGACATATCTGAACGACCTCTCCAGCATCAGCAATTCTACCTTTGATAGATTTGACCACAGTTCTGATCCATACAGAGTCTTTGGGAGGTACATATTACTTACCACAATCAAGCTGGTTATAGGATTCAGGAACCTAGGATGAAAACCTCGTGAAATCAGCGTTCTTACCCCTGACCTCAGGTTGACTGAAGCTTGAGTAACATGTTCAAGGGATGACATGTTGCCAGAGAGTACCAAACCAACATGTCTGATGGTGTTCGTCCATGGAAAGGGTTCACTGTACAGCTTCAGTTCAGATCTGTGTTGAGTCCCCTTGCGGCAGGGGAATGATACAATCTCACTTTTGGAAGATGACAATATGTATCGCCAGTCACAGCTGTAGTCCTCGGCCGTTTTCAACATTAATTTCAATGCTGACACTCTCGATGAAACAAGGGCTACATCGTCGGCTTGCGTCGGAGAACAGGTATTCAAATCCATAACCACAGCACCAAGTCTCGACTTCGATAGTTTCTGGAGGAGGGCGTCAATGTACAAGAGGTACAACTTCCCCGACAACACACCACCTTGTCTTATTCCCTGTTTCATGGATACGGGTCTAGAGCACATTGAGTCCCCACACACACGGCTAACCATCTCTGTGTACATGTTGTCAAGCACTAGCCATAGAGACCCCTTGATTCCGAACTCGAATATCTTGTACTTAAGACCACCATGTCACACCGTATCAAATGCCTTACACGTATCTAAGAAGGCAACATGGACATCTTCATTCTGCTCATGATAGATAGATGATGGATGGTCTCTTGTAAGTTGAATAATGTGTGAAGGGCAGACAATCCGATCTGGTACGCCATTTGTTGAGGGTCGGGAAATTTGTCAGATTGATCTAAACCTTTCAACCTTGGTAATAGCAGCATTTCAAAGACCTTGCTCAGTACAGGCGACAGGGATATACCCCGATAGGAGTTCGGATCCTTCTTTGATTTATTCCCACCTTTGAACAGAGGGACGATTATGCTTTCCCACCAGGCTGCAGGGATATATCCAGTTTCTAGGATGATGTTGAACAAGGATGATAAATGAAACATCAGGGTCTTCCCACCATATTTGATATGTTATGTTGGGCTTATGTGTGTGTGTATGTGTGTGGGGTGGGTGTATTCTTGCGTGTGTGTGTTTTCAGTAAGATCAATGAGTCTGAACTCAGTTTGAGAATAGATGCAGGAAGGCATTGTCTGCGAAGAAAGGTTATGCCAAGTATGCAAGGCATTCCTTTTCGTGTGCCCTCATTATTCTAATCTAAGTCAAGTTCCTACCACTGCGTAGTCTGTCACTCTACACACCCAAGCTGCACCCTGACATGGTGCTAGATGTCTCAGCAGCATGCACGTGATCATTGGTTGCTGTGATATGGTACACGACTGACACGGCTAACACGGGTATCGCCGTTCTACCAAAAAGGATACAACCTAAAAAATAAAGTTTCTAGCTCTCAGACATCCAGAATACATCATGTATGCATTTTAGAAAATAGCGGAAACATATTGAATGCTAAATTGATTCCTAATGTGCCTCCCATCATCTAGTTGTTCAACGGAAGAGTGAGTAAAGTGAACCACAGAGTCAAGTTACAACTGTGGTGCATAAAACACGTTATTCACAACGCTGATCACATGATCTCAATTATCAACATGATCAAGGGCACACATATATGAGAACAGCAAAGCCCTTGGGATGACTTTAAATACATATTAATACGTCAATTTCGCGGATGTCAACATACTTGAATGAGCTAGTAAATATAGTGTGATAATTCTATGAATATATGAATAGACCATTGGGTCGAAAAATCATATCAGCTGAATGTTTCACCGATCTGTGTATTTTGTAAATATAAGTTGTCATGAGAAGAATTATATCACGATACCACAGAACTCATAGTTTTATTTTTGCTCAATTCAAAGGTGAGAGAATTGTTTAATATTATATCTGATATAGCTGTTCTGACATAAAAAAAGTTCATCTCTCTGATTGAAGGATACTTCTTTGATTGAAGTATACCTCTCTGATTGTAGTATAATTCTCTGATTGAAGTATAATTCTCTGGTTGAAGTTTAATTCTCTGATTGAAGTGTAATTTATTGATTGACCTATACGTCTCTCTTTGAGCCATTACTGTCTGATTGAGGTATAATTGTCTGATTGAAGTGTCATTCTCTGATTGGAGTATAATTAATTGATTGAAATAAACTTCTGTGATTGAAGTATAATTCTGTGTTTGAAGTATAAGTAATTGATTGAAGTATGTTTCTCTGTTTCATGTATAATTCTGTGATTGAAGTATACGTCTCTCTTTGAGCCATTACTGTCTGATTGAGGTCTATTTCTCTGATTGATGTACACGTCTCTGATTGAAGTATAATTAATCGATTGAAGTAATCTTCTGTGTTTAAAGTATAAGTCATTGATTGATGTATAATTCTGCGGTTGAAGTACAAGCACACACAAATTGCCATAAAAGTTCAATAATGTTGAACGTGACGATAAATCACTGTAAATTGGACAGTAGGGCAAGATGATCGTTTCCCAAAAGCCAAGGGCAAAAGGACAAGCAGGGGTGATTATGTCATTGCGTGCTCAGATATATTCCCGTTTACATCTGTACATAAGCAAAACCAGAGAAATAATCACCGAGACAACAAGCATGTAAGCGCTCCAAAAGTCAGAAGGTTGAACATGACCAAGGCAAGAGAGGAATTAGAGTTTTTCCTCTACTCATTTATGATAATGCCAAATATGTAATCCATGATGTTGTAGACAAATTTACCAACTTACTTTTTGTCTCGTAAAACATTCAGTTAAAAATCTTATAAAAATCATAAACCTATGGTAAACAGCATACACCATGGTTATCTATGATGAGTTAAACGAGGTAAACTCTGTGAAGCAAAACGTACATTTCAGGAGAAACCTAGATTGCACGACAAACAAAAAAGTTCTGTATGTCAGCAATCATCATGAAAATATACTGGTCAACAGATACTGAACGATCTCTAACGTTATGATGGAAATACTTCTGAAAAGATGTTGAATGATAGACCTGTTACACAATCATACTTACCTCGACCATTGTGAGTAATTGGTGGTTGTGTTTGCTTGCCGCACTTGATGTTCTCAGTCGCACAGTCGTACGTTGAGAATTGGTAGGACTTGAAGATCTCGCCACACGCATCGGAGTTGCTGTTATGACACTTGTAACACTTGATCGCAGCTCCTAAACGGAAAACGTATGACACGATGTTATCATTTAGGCAGAGGGTTAAGGGTGGCAGCTGTACGTTGGTAGGCACACACGGGAATAACAGATTAATGATTTCAAAACATTATAGTTTCATATTGTATAATTATAACATACTGTGAATGCGTTGATTTAACGTCGCTTTGCAAAGTTTTCAGTTTTATATATAGGTTAGTTTAATGATGGGGGAGGGAGGACCAATTGGGAAGAAGGGGTACTACATTGAGCGCTTGGTGAGACCTTGCTTCAAGTAAGGTTACCGATGACCATCGTCGAGGCGAATTTAAAACCATCACCGCGAACAAAGGACCTCTAAATCACTGAGCCTTCCTTGCGTATTGTCCCAACACAATCACGGCATTGATGTTCTGTAAAGATGGGTAGCTGTTAGCAGAAGTGTTGGTATTATTATGTTTCTCCCTCATATTAACCTGATATCAGAAAGCTCTAACTGAGTTAGCATGCAAATGTTGTAAATTTTAAAATTTGGAAGATCAATACTTGTGGACTAGTGCTACCGTTTTGTTATCATATCTTGAACTCCGAGTCTTTTAGCACCTTTGTCATTAATGATAGAAACGAGTGCTTTTAAATTAAGAATTGACCTTCACTTTGTGTGAGTTCATTGGAGTATGAACCTTCTTAGAGTGAGGGCCAAACTGCATGAACGTCGGAGCTTGCGACAACGTCCATACAATGTTTGGACCTCACTTTTGGACCTCATACTCCAATGAACTCACACAAAGTGAAAGTCAATTCTTATAATTTTTTACCACAATTTCTTACCTCAAAGGATGTAGGCCAAGATCTAAACACAATTTTATTTAGTACGTGTGACTTCATGTTTACTCTGACAGCCATACAACAACCAGCTATATCGCGGAGTAAAAAAGTTCTTCAAAAAGAGAGGTGGCATGGGCGTATGGATGCACAACTTGCTCTTCAGAAACATCTTACGCAGCACATGTGTTCAAATTATATCTTCGTTAGATGAGAAAGGTCTCTAAAGAACTACCTCAGTAAGTCAGTCACAATGACAGCGCGTCGTAATACATTCACATCAAGTACAAGACGTCATAATGGCCGACACTATAAACGTGACGGGAGTTGTTAATGTTTAGTTGTTAATGAACCTGTGGCGGTTACATGTGTTAATCATCATTGATCAACTGGCCGATTATTGAAAGGTGAATAAAGATGCGTCAAACAGACACTAAGGTAAATTCATAGATTGCTGGAGACGGTCAATGTCAGCCTAGGCACGGATTAAGTCGATACTACGATAGTTTATATGTGCATTTCTTCGTTTGTTCATTAGGATAGGAAGCATCGAGGATATTCGTGAACAATCATGCAGTCACGCTCTCTGACATGTCTCAATGTATATTGAAACGCTGAGATCAAGAATAAAGGTTCTAAATGATCAGAAAGAACGCTTATGTATGTTTTCGTGCCAGGGAATTCCCAGGGGTTTCCCCAGGAATGTGGAAGTAGTCCGTCAGTGTTCACGTCATTTCAAGAACACGATCTCGTGAAAAACGTATGAACGTCAAATTGTGTCGTTCATACACTTATGCACGTCAATTTCGCGGTCATGTGACCGACCTCTCGTCCAATGGAAAAGCCGTATATCGTGTAAACTTCGTGTATTCCCATGTATCACAATATAGTATGAATACTTTTCTCATACTCATTTAAGTTCATTTAAAGGAAACATCATTTGAAATAATTCATGCAAAAAGTAACCATTATACATTTTATGCCAACCCCCTGTCCTCCCCTCCCCTGCCCGCAAACATACAATTGAATGAAAACAAGTTTCCATTTATGAGTCTCATGTCATCAATGCTTATTTAGTCATCTTAATAATCAGTACAGCAAAACGAAACACATAACCAAACGGCTGAATATCGAGTTGACCTTTTGTCAGGGTACCGTGAAAATTGTAAATAGATGATATACATATATATTGGCTAGTACAGCCCAAGGCTGGTGAATGAGTTCATGACGATATAGGCGGGGTGGAAGTAGCCGGTCCATCAACAGTTTCAAGACGAGACTGACGGTGTATGAGAAAACAAATTTGGACGACTTGACGTAATGCAGGCTTTCTTCACACAACGGCAGATACCTCAGTCTGTATATTTAATTATTCACCAAATTATAAACCAATAAAATGGCACGACGACATAGAGTCTATAGCATCAAGCAGCACACGTGTGCGCACAAAGCATGTTTGTGACGGAGGAAGAAGGTGGCGATTAGGGAGACAAGTTAAACAAGGGAGGTAGCACGTGTGCGAAGGAGGAGAGCGTGAGTGCGGACGAGGCAAGGACTGGTGACGGCAGGGAGAAGAGAAATTATGAAGGGAGGTTATGAAGCGGGTGAATGCGGCAGATTGGGATAAGGGAGTGACTAAGTGGTTGAGGTGTGTGTGTGTGTGATCGACAAGCCTGTGATCGACAGAATGAGGGACAACGTGGGAAGGCATGAAGTTAAGCGAATGATTGCACGGGGAGGGTAGGAGGGTGTAAGCCAACGAATGATTGCATGTCGAGGGAAAGAGGGAGTAAGCAGGCGAATGATTGCATGGGGATTGAAGGAGGGAGTAAGCAAGCGAATGATTGCATGGGGATGGAATGAGGGAGTAAGCCAGCGAATGATTGCTTTGGGAAGGAGGGAGTAAGCCAGCGAATGATTGCTTTGGGAAGGAGGGAGTAAGCCAGCGATTGATTGCATGGGGAGGGAAGGAGGGAGTAAGCCAACGATTGATTGCATGGGGATGGAAGGAGGGAGTAAGCCAACGAATGATTGCTTTGGGAAGGAGGGAGTAAGCCAGCGATTGATTGCATGGGGAGGGAAGGAGGGAGTAAGCCAACGAATGATTGCATGGGGAGGGAAGGAGGGAGTAAGCCAGCGAATGATTGCATGGGGAGGGAAGGAGGGAGTAAGCCAGCGAATGAGTGCTTTGGGAAGGAGGGAGTAAGCCAGCGAATGATTGCATGGGGAGGGAAGGAGGGAGTAAGCCAACGAATGATTGCATGGGGAGGGAAGGAGGGAGTAAGCCAACGAATGATTGCATGGGGAGGGAAGGAGGGAGTAAGCCAACGATTGATTGCATGGGGATCGAAGGAGGGAGTAAGCCAACGAATGATTGCTTTGGGAAGGAGGGAGTAAGCCAGCGATTGATTGCATGGGGAGGGAAGGAGGGAGTAAGCCAGCGATTGATTGCATGGGGAGGGAAGGAGGGAGTAAGCCAGCGATTGATTGCATGGGGAGGGAAGGAGGGAGTAAGCCAGCGATTGATTGCATGGGGAGGGAAGGAGGGAGTAAGCCAGCGAATGAGTGCTTTGGAAAGGAGGGAGTAAGCCAGCGATTGATTGCATGGGGAGGGAAGGAGGGAGTAAGCCAACGAATGATTGCATGGGGAGGGAAGGAGGGAGTAAGCCAGCGAATGAGTGCTTTGGAAAGGAGGGAGTAAGCCAGCGATTGATTGCATGGGGAGGGAAGGAGGGAGTAAGCCAACGAATGATTGCATGGGGAGGGAAGGAGGGAGTAAGCCAGCGAATGATTGCATGGGGAGGGAAGGAGGGAGTAAGCCAGCGAATGAGTGCTTTGGGAAGGAGGGAGTAAGCCAGCGAATGATTGCATGGGGAGGGAAGGAGGGAGTAAGCCAACGATTGATTGCATGGGGATGGAAGGAGGGAGTAAGCCAACGAATGATTGCTTTGGGAAGGAGGGAGTAAGCAAGCGAATGATTGCATGGGGAGGGAAGGAGGGAGTAAGCCAGCGAATGAGTGCTTTGGGAAGGAGGGAGTAAGCCAGCGATTGATTGCATGGGGAGGGAAGGAGGGAGTAAGCCAACGATTGATTGCATGGGGATGGAAGGAGGGAGTAAGCCAGCGAATGAGTGCTTTGGGAAGGAGGGAGTAAGCAAGCGAATGATTGCATGGGGAGGGAAGGAGGGAGTAAGCCAACGAATGATTGCTTTGGGAAGGAGGGAGTAAGCCAGCGATTGATTGCATGGGGAGGGAAGGAGGGAGTAAGCCAACGAATGATTGCATGGGTAGGGAAGGAGGGAGTAAGCCAGCGAATGATTGCATGGGGAGGGAAGGAGGGAGTAAGCCAACGATTGATTGCATGGGGATGGAAGGAGGGAGTAAGCCAACGAATGATTGCTTTGGGAAGGAGGGAGTAAGCAAGCGAATGATTGCATGGGGAGGGAAGGAGGGAGTAAGCCAGCGAATGAGTGCTTTGGGAAGGAGGGAGTAAGCCAGCGATTGATTGCATGGGTAGGGAAGGAGGGAGTAAGCCAACGATTGATTGCATGGGGATGGAAGGAGGGAGTAAGCCAGCGAATGATTGCATGGGGAGGGAAGGAGGGAGTAAGCCAGCGATTGATTGCATGGGTAGGGAAGGAGGGAGTAAGCCAGCGATTGATTGCATGGGTAGGGAAGGAGGGAGTAAGCCAGCGATTGATTGCATGGGTAGGGAAGGAGGGAGTAAGCCAACGATTGATTGCATGGGGATGGAAGGAGGGAGTAAGCCAGCGAATGATTGCATGGGGAGGGAAGGAGGGAGTAAGCCAGCGATTGATTGCATGGGTAGGGAAGGAGGGAGTAAGCCAGCGATTGATTGCATGGGTAGGGAAGGAGGGAGTAAGCCAGCGATTGATTGCATGGGTAGGGAAGGAGGGAGTAAGCCAGCGAATGATTGCATGGGGAGGGAAGGAGGGAGTAAGCCAGCGATTGATTGCATGGGTAGGGAAGGAGGGAGTAAGCCAGCGATTGATTGCATGGGTAGGGAAGGAGGGAGTAAGCCAGCGATTGATTGCATGGGGAGTGAAGGAGGGAGTAAGCCAGCGAATGATTGCATGGGTAGGGAAGGAGGGAGTAAGCCAGCGAATGATTGCATGGGGAGGGAAGGAGGGAGTAAGCCAGCGATTGATTGCATGGGTAGGGAAGGAGGGAGTAAGC